GAGTTCCTACCGTTATGAAGGGCCAAGAGTAAATGACGATCTTGCAAAATCTGAGGCTAAGGTGTTTGTGAATGCACTAAAAGATATTAAGAAGAATCTCATTGAGAATGAAGAAATCGTGTGGATCCTTTCACACAGAAGCAAGCTCCATCTTAAGGCCCTCTATAGCCACTATAAGGAAATGACTGGCAAATACCTGGACGAGGTAACGAAATTTAAAAAAATAAAAGGGCTTTCACTTCTATGTACGGATAAAGAGCGTATACTTTCTAACATCATCAGATTAACATGATCTATGACCACAACAATGTAGGAGTTAAAAGGAATTAAGAGCAAAAAGACGACGTTCAAAATGTCATGGAACAATGGTCTATTCGATACTAATCTCAATTTTTTTCCAGGATCTTGATGGTTACTTGATCTTGAAACAAGTAGTTCAATGCCTATGTTCACCTCAAACATACTTCAGCAAGGTAAATAGCAATCACAAAATTGATAAATATACTATATTGTCTTGTATTTCTCCCCCATTTGTTTGAATTTTTCGTTATCTATCTGACTTTTTTCTCATTTTCAATTTCCTATTGCGTAGATCTTGATCGAGTCCTTAAGATTGGATGTGGATGAATCTGTTAAAGACTCAGTCACCCGAGTCATCGTTACAAGAGCAGACGATGATATGAAACAAATCAAAGAAGAATTCCACAGCAAATATGGAACTACCTTGCCTGCAAAGATTGAAGAAGTTGCCAATGGAAGTTACAAGAATTTCTTGCTTACTATAGTTGCAAAGTCTGAGTAATTTGGGCCAGATTTTGGCATATCCAGATTCTCTATAGTGCATGGTTCCATGTTCTCAAATACTTGTTGAGTTGTTTCCCTTTTGCTATAATTTCTTTTGAAGTCCTTTGCTCAATATATGTATGATTTCAATGTTTCCATGTAAAATGGATAATTTCAACATAATAGTTGTCACTTGTCAGCTTCCTGATTATTCAACTTATCTTTAGTCTAATTTTTGAAAGGTGCATTAATTCGTAGAATAAACATCAGCGTTCTCTTGTATGAGTTTTAAGTTTAACTTACAATATTTCTCTTTTGAGATTCGACGAATTTAATAGATGCATATTGCATCCCAGAAGCACGAGATTAAAGCGAATGGAACGTGCGATGACTAACTTAAGAACTCTAACTTGTAGTTTCCAAGGATATTAATTTTTCCTTAGATTCTTCCCCCTTTTTTAGGAAATATTGGGTGAACTTTTTAAATTTTTATTCGGACACCTCAATTAAAGTCACAACCTATTAGTCAAGGAATGTCTGCAAAATATACCTGCAAAAATAAGCTGAACTATGTGGTGATGTGGCAAAAAAAAATAATAATCCTACAAACTAACGAAACATGGCATCCCAAATAAATTTATATAATTGACCCCAACTTATTTAAGGCTGAGTCATTATAATATTATTATTATTTTAGTAATATTATTTTTAGACGCACTAACCTGTAGTAATATTGTTGCTACAGCCTACAATGCTTTCCCAAGCACCTCCTTTTGTAATGAAGCATACCAAGATAGTATTTTCCTTCTGTTGCCAAAACAAAGCTATTTTTACAAATCTGGGGGTACTTGGACAGTTGGATCCAAACCAAGGTCTTCACCCATTTAATTGAATTGGCACGAAGGACGGAAGGAAATGATAAACCTAAAGAAATGAAATAGAAGAATTAAAAAAAAAAAAAAAAAAAAAAAAAAAAAAAAAAACCATGCTAGTTTGAAATCCGTGTCTATATACATATTTAAATATGTGGAAATGACATCAGGTAGCCACTTTTAAACATTTTGTTTAAAATATATTCACAGTTTACAATGTATTTAAAGATTAGCCAATTTCGCTCAAACTTCAGGACACGACGTCCTAGAGTGTAAACCTCAAAGTTCAAACTTCAGGACATCGTGTCCTAAAGTTTGAAAATTGTGTCCAAAAGTTAGAATCTTATGTCCTTAATTTTAAATAAGCAGTTCAGAAATTCAGGACACTTTGTCCTGAATTTCAAATTAGCAACTCAATAATTAAGGACACTAAGTCCTGAATTTCCAAATTCAGGATACTTAGTCCTGAAGTTTGGGTGAATTGACCAATCTTTAAATACATTATAAACTGTGGATATATTTTAAAGAGCGGGTTTAAAAGTGGCTATTGTTGCACTCCGCCCTTTAAATACTTCCTCATTTTCCTTTTATTTACAAAAAGCAGATTTATGTTGTTGGGCCTATATTGGACCAGTCTTAGCTGCGTTCGTGAAAAAAAAAACCGGAAATAGTCAGATTTACAACTGGTAATTGAAAAATAGCCATAGTTTCAAAAGTAATCGAAATTTAGTCACTTTTTCATGTAAAAATAAAATCTAAGCAAAAAACCCTTAAAAATTCGAAAAAAATTCCAGCATAATATGCTGGAGTTTGAATCTTTTACATATGAGATTCCAGCATAATGTGCTGGAATTTCATTATGTGTTGGAGTTCCAACATAATATGTCGGAAGTTTACACGTAGGATCTCCGTAATCCAACATATTATGCTGAAACTTTCTGTATGCTGGAGTCCAACATAATATACTGGAAATTTGTACGCAAGAGCTTCATAATCCAGCATATTATGTTAAAACGTTCTGTGTTTAAGCAAAATAATGGCTATTTTCAATGACTTTACAAATACTGGCTATTTTTCAATTATCAGTCCAAAAACTAGCTAGTCCATGCCTTTTTCACGCGTAGGTGGGGTTGGATGTGTTATCGGGCTACTTTTCTTATTTCAAAGGGAACAAGTGATTGACCTAAATAGGGCTTTTTGGGGTGGTCTTAGCGGAATGTCCCTAAAATTTGAGGTATTTATAAAATAACCCGTACCTGCACAAGCTTTTCAGGGGATTCTCTACCAGATTAAATTTGTTCATCGAAGTCTATCGGATTGTCATACCTTTGCTCTTTAGGATTTCTCTACCAATCCGATAGAGTAAGAGTTGATGTTATTATTACTCTACCTATCTGTTAAGTTGTTAATTAAAGTCTACTGGATTGTTCAATCAATTTCGAATTCAACTTTCTGAACCACGCTTTTAAACTATCGATAATGGTGGTGCTGATTAGGGATGAGCAATGGACAGGTTGGGCTGCAATTGGGCGGGTTAAAATGGACTGAACTAATAAATGAGTCATTGTCCAATCCTGCCCAAATATTACTTGGGTTAAAATGAGTTGGGACAATATGGGCTAACAATGGGTTATAACCCAACCCGCCCAACTTGACCCATTATTTTTATAATTTAATATCCTTTTATTTTTTCTTGTAAGACAACCAATGTCATGAGAAATCTTTATTTTTATTTTTTTGGTATTTGTTCTCTTTTATTTTGAATTTTCTTTTTGCAAGACACCATCAACAACTCTTTTTGTGTCTAAGATCACTACTTATTCGATTTCTTAGATCTGGTAGTATTGACCTTGTTAATTATTGTAATTGATAAAAATAAATGAAAAATTTAGAGAATCATTTAACTTGCCAGGTAAATTCTTGTGAATAGTACTATTTCAACTATCTAAATTTTCATTTTCATTTTTCATTTTGATTTCACGTTAAACTAATATTTTGTTTTCTAAAAATGAAACATTTCAAAGATAATAATTATATGAGATCTATTCTTTACCGTTAAGATTAAATTAATTCTTATTTTATTTTTGTAATATTCTAAAGATTATGATTGATCTACAAATGTGATTTATAAAAAAATAAATATTTTGACCATATAAAATAATCTATGTCATCATGAGATTATAAATTAAAATCTACCTTTTTGGACAAGGAATTACTCCTATTTTTATTTGGCTGAGCATCAGTGGAGGTTCACATATGTCCTAATGTCCAGCTTCAAGAGAGAATTTTGGGCTCACATGGGTCATAGTTGGGCACTAACATGGGTTAGTTTGGGCTAGTGAATTTTCATGGGTTACTTTAGGCTAGCCCAAATCTGCCCATCAATAAAATCACTCTAGCCCAAACTCATTAATACTTGGGCGGGTTACATGGGTTTGGACCTGTTTTGACACCCCTAGTCCTGATTTCTCCCTCTCAGATTCAAGTCACAAACATCAACAAAGGAATATCATCAGTTTAACCTATGGATTTCCAGCTTCAAAACAAAATATATACTTCAACTCATTTTTATAATTTTTGGAATATCGAATTTCAAACCAAAACTCAACTGTGAGTTTTTCATGGAATTTTGTAGTTCTTCTTCAATTTTTTTTTCTCCATCCAACCAACGAATCGGTTTCTCCATAACTATCCCATTACCCACCCCCCAAATCACTGAACAATTTTAGTAAAATCCCCCATAGTAGTAGATTTTAAATATTTTACTAACACTATTCATGAAAATTTAGTTTCACTTCTACAAAGTAACTTAGCAGTAATCAATGACAAGCACAATGCCGCTAAAATTAAAGGTTTATAGTGCCAATCAAAATAGTGCAATCAGAATATGAATTGTTTTTTGGCATCTTTCTAATGCAAAACTAAATTATCTTTTTGAGTCTTTTTATCAAGATTTGCCACTTAAATTAAGGTCGATAACAGAACTTTAGTATCATGCAAGTACCTCTTTTTTCTTCCTATTGAAGTGAAATAGTTTTCATATGAATAATTGTCTTTATCCTAAAAGTAGCTTCTTCTTTTTAGCTGGATCCTATTTATAACAGTTATTTCTTTCTTTTAGGTTTCAATTCCTTGGGCATGTTCCGTGTCTCAGGAAATAAAAGCTGCTATTTACTCAGCTCACAAGCAAGTGACGAACCACAAACTTATATAATAAATCACTCTCCAACACTTAGGTTTTTCACAACAAATCCACTCATCAATTTTTGATATAACATTTTTCAAAGCACATAAAGTAGAATATTGAAACACAACAACACAATGTTCAAAACCAAAGAGCTAGACTTTGGCACCAAGCAGTGTCATCAGGAACTTCATGTAATCACCTGATGTGTCACCAATAACTGCATTATCAAGGCTAGTCTTGTTCGCGATGAAATACTCTCCCCTTACTTTCATCATATCAACTTCAGCTCGAGTTACAATGTCTCTAGTTAGAGAATCCTCATCAGTTCCTATCCCAACAATAGAGGCTCTGACAACCTGATCATTCCAACGTAAAAGAGAATATAACTTACAGAAGATTTCAACAAACAAGAAGAGAGAGAATTCTTACAGAATTAGGGAAATAGCTTTACAACAACACATTGTAGGCCTGAGATATTGTAAATGGAAGCATATACTGGACAGATTAAATTGTTTTCCTTGCTAGCAGGAGTCTATGAGGTGAAACTCTTCCTAGAAGGTGCTAAGTTCAGTGGTGGATAGATTGGCATAGAAGGACTTTGAAAGCAACAGTTTTGGTCATTTTTGTTTGGTCATGTCATGTCTCTAGAGTCCAATGAGCAGGCGGTGTATACATGGTTGAATAAATCTTTTTCGTTTGACCAAAAAATATAGTAGCAATGTATGAGTGAACTAACATAGGAGCTGGTACATTTTTTTACACTAATTATGCACAAAATTAACCTGTTAATAGCCACAATAAAGTAACAAGCATGAACGTAATAAAAAGGAAGGAATCCTTCACCCTCATAAGGCCTTTTACAGGTTCCACAGCTTTGACCCTATTTGGCCGTTTAACATAGCTAATAACAACAGGGAAGAATAAAAATAAGGAGGAGATTTTGTATTCTATGGTGCCGATGATTCTTTAAGTCTAGTCTAACCAAAAGATTGATATGCAATTTAATAGCACTGGCATACTTAAATCAAACATATGGTCTAAAAAATGCAATTCTGTGGAGGTAGAAAACAGGAGAATGTGTTTGCTTTAACGTTATTATATTAAGGTAGGGCTGTGCTGATTTTGACAGATGATTTGACAGGTAAAAGGGTGTCAAAGCGA